TTTAGTCTTACACTGCTAAATTAGGGACGGCTAGCGCAGATAGCCCTCGTGTAGCTTTGCGCGAAATTCCAAAACAAACTAAACTGTTAAAAAATTAACATCAGTCTTTACTTTAAAGTAAGCTAAATAATGATGAATAAACAACAAAAAAGCATTACAAGTATACATATACATAGCTGCACGTATTTAATTTAAGCTTAATTGAAGTAGTTAGAAATACAAAAAGACAATTAGCTTGTATGAATCTAATTAGAAAAAAAATATTTTAGCGTAGTATTAATTGAGCAGTTAAAGATTATGCGTAAAAATCAAATATTATCCAAGGTTTGTTCCTGTCACAAGACAGTATAAATTCATCATGTTCAGGACGTTGTAAACTACCTAATTTCCATGGGTATTTCAAACGAATGAGTGATAAACTTTAAAGATTATGACATAGTTAAATATCAGTTCGATGAAGTATACACTTTATGCCAATGTTCTGTATTCATTTAATTAAAAATAATATTTTTTTCAATAAATCACCTAGCAACTGGAACAAAAGGAAAATAAATGACTGGTTTGCTTGAAAATATAACTTAGAAAATAATAAAGAAGGAATAACAAAACCAGTTTCCTGAACAATATATTCCTTCCATAAAGTTAGTATTGAAGAAATAAACTAGAAGGGGGTGAAGGAATTATCTAGAAGAATATAAAAAGAAAAGAGACAATAGTTATTATGTATTGGCTTGATTGAAACATGAAACTTATAAAGCAACATAACTGGTTTATACGTGCTTTCTACAGTAGGCTATCCTGATCAGTGATCAGCGTTTACGCTATGAAAAGAAAAAAAGATAACATTCAAAACACGTACGTGTTAATCACAATACTCAGTGGAATACGTCTATCGTGGGATTAAAAATGTTGTTTAATATGGTCTACTACTTGGAAACTGTAACAAGGGACCGTACAAGATATGGTAGAACACACTCTTCCCGCAGGTTTCGCATGCTTGTCTGCCCAGCCACTTAAGGAACGACAAGCAAATATAAACCGCTTCTGAGTGGGAGATGGAATAAATGAACACCAAAATAAACTTAAGTGTACGACCAGAACTTGTCAGTTGCTTGAGATGTATGGTTTATCCAAGAACGTTACAGATGACGTGTAAAAGTTGATCTAGTAGTATACGAAATATGAAAAGAATAGAAAAAACGTCAACACAATAATATTGTATTAAAATGACATCGTATTTTCGACTAAACAATAAACAAAATTAGGCTATATTATAATTATTGGTATTTAAAACGCTAACAGAAGTATTGGTAAACTGCACTTGCAGAATAAACTGTGTGTGTTCGGATAACGTGAGATAAAACTATCTCGTAATTGCGGGAATTTGATTATTATAATAACGAGTATTGTACTGGTATCTTAGAAATGTCAAGCTATTATCAAACATAATTTGAGACTTCACCTGAAACAAGATAAACATATAAAGATCATACTTTTTATTTTCGTAACTGATTTTCAAAGTTGAAAAATAGTGTGACATCGTAGTGTACTGGGTTAGTTTGTGATGTTGTGTAATTGTTGATTTAGTGAAGTAGTTTGATAAAATAATAAGAATAAAAAAAAAAAACTTTATCAAAACAATTGCTTATGTTTAATAACGTAGATAACTGTCTCAATTTTCACTAGTGTTTCCACCTAAGAAGTTTTGTTCTTGAAATTCTAGCGCTGTACATAACGATCTCGGAAGATTAACTAGTAATTTTTAATAAGTCCTGAAGTTACTATAGTGTTGTTTCGTTTTTTTAGCCCCCACAGTGGCACAGCGATATATCTACGGACTTACATCGCTCGAAACTATTGTTTTTTTAAATATAAATTTAGCGCATCTATTCTGTTTTATTTCAAGTTGAAGCTATTACGTTAACTTGCATCATCAGACGTAAAAAAAAAGATTAATTTGAAAAACTGAAGAAACTTACAAAGCACATATCATAGTCAGCTTGTCCCCTATAGTTGCAAGGATATAGTTGTATGGAGAAATCTTAGTTCTACCTTGCAATTAAAAAGTTTGAAGAAACCCATTTTCTTTCACAAACAAAAATTAAAACAACATATTCTCTAAGGAATTACAAATTATTCAACACAAAAAATCTAGTTAAGTTGTAAGCAGTTCATTTTTCGTTGCTAATTGCAACTGTGATCTTGGCATCGTCTTGTATTTGCAAAACCCCAAGTTTTAAATTGAATTGAAACAAACGTTTATTCTCCGTCTCACTAAACATGCTCGCCCTATCAGCCGTGGGGGCGTTATAATGTGACGGTCAATCCCACTATTCGTTGGTAAAAGAGTAGCCCAAG